GCTCTCCCCACGCGGCGACACTCACCATCTTAGATCCAAGACCCGAAAGAGGATCCGGCTCCTCGCCGGCCGCTCTTATATAGTCCGAGATCCCTACGTACACGCCGGGGGTGGGGATGGGGAACTAGAGATGTGTAACTCTAATGACTCTTCGCCACTACTGTACCCAAATTTACCTAATTGCCGAGCGTCTCCGCTGAGATGCAGGGTTATAATAAGTCCCTGCAAATTATCTGTGGAGCAAAGTACCGACGGGACTATTTAACCTGCTGGCGGAAGGCTATAATGTTATACGTCTGCGAACCAGGAAGTAATTCTAGGTGATATTAACATCCGGTTAACGTTGTCTCCAGAGCGGAAGTTACTCAGAACTCGGTCTCCGGACGCACACTCCCTGGTCCTCGAGGTCGAAAGAGATGCATTGTGGGAGTTGTAGTACGAATAGTAGCGGTCTCTGGCCTGGAGTAGACTCTAGACTAAAGGCGGCGCTGCACCACCGTGAGACGCTATGACTTCAATTCTCTGACATGTGTGTTCTAGGTGTAGAAGTAAGAAATAGAAGACCTGGGAGGAAATAAACCGTTTTGTAAATCCATCCTTCCAAATAAAAGCTCCAGCCAGGCATTGGTGGCGCATGCCTTTAGTCCCAGCACTTGGGAGGCCGAGGCAGGCGGATCTCTGTGAGTTCAAGGCCAGCCTGGTCTATAAGAGGTAATTCCAGGACAGCCAGGACTTTTACACAGAAACACCCTGTGTTGGGTGGATGGGGGTGTTCATCATTCCTAGCAATTAGGGACATGCAAATCAAAACAACTTTGAGATTTTTGTCTTACCCAGCCGGCATGGAACAACAGATCAATGGAACAACAGATGATAAATGCTGGAGGGGATGGGGAGAACTCATTTACTGTTGGTGGAATTGCAAACTGGTGTAGCCAGTATGGAAATCAGTGTGGAGAATTCTCAAAAGATAAAATAAATCTATGATATGACTCAGCTATACCATTCCTGGACATATGACAAAAGGACTCAATATCCTACTCCAAATCTACTTGCTCAGCCTCACTCATTGCTGCTCTAGTGGTAATCGCCAGGACATGGCAACAATCTAAATGTCTTATGACTGACGAATGCATAATGAAATATGGCACGTATACACTGTGGAATAAGATTCAATTGTTAAAAAACAAACAAGCCAGCAAACAATCAAACATCAAGATCATAAACTCTGCAGGTAAATGGATGGACCTAGAAAAGACCATATTGAGCCCTGTAGTGGTAGTCTTTTATTCCAGGACTTGGGAGGCAAAGGCAGGAGGCAGGAGGATCTCAGTGAGTTCAAGGCACCCCCATCTACAAAGTGAGTTCCAGGACAACCAGGACTGTTACACAGAGAAACCCTGTCTTGAAAACCATTAGGAAGAGAGAGAGAGAGAGAGAGAGAGAGAGAGAGAGAGAGAGAGGGAAAGAAGGAAGGAAAAGACCATATTCAATGAAATAACCCAGCCAGACCCGGAAAGCTCACTCACATAGAAAGTTCCTAGCTCCAAATCTTCAGATGTGAGCACATACCCTATAGCAACTGAAGATCGGGAAAGTAAAATGGAACCCTTGCCAGGATAGGGGGACTGGGGAGCAGAAGGGAGGGGTGCAGCAGAGTACAAGTAATCTGATCAAGGAAATAGAAAAGTGGGGGGCTTCTTAGGAAGGAGAAGGGGGGTCAGTAGGGAGAGAGGTGGGAGAGAGCTAAGGAGAATAGCGGCAGTGTACGCTTGATCTGAGAGGGGAAATGGGAAAGGGAGCCTCTCAGGGAGGGGAGGGAGGAAAATACAGAAGGAGGGGGGAAGTGGGTAAAATAACAGTAAGGATTTCTGAAAAAGCCATAGAAATCATACTATTAACTGTTTGCCCCAAACCCTATAACACACACCACCCCCTGTATAAATATACACACATATATGTTTTCTTTTACATATATATTTTTAACCACTCCTCTCATCAGGGATGATGCTGCTCCCTCTGAGAGTCACAGGTCACCTGGCAAAACCCCCAATACCAAACCATAATGATAAGAGAACCCCTCTTTTGAATTGTTGGATGGGGCTGTCCAAGAGAATCCCCAAACATACAGCCTATTCCCGTTGCCCTTGGTTACCCTTCAGAGATAGAAGGTGAGTCCCTGTTACTCCTGAAGACAGCATGCACTTCAGAAACAGGACCCAGAGACCCCTGAGTTGAAACTGACTTGAATGCTTCCTCCCTGAGGACTAGAATTCATGGTACCAGAAGGCACTATGTAAGCTTCCAAAGGAGGGAGTCAACTAACACTCCTACCAAGCTATGATACCCATGAACCAGCATCAGTGAGCAGCCTAGTACCATAACCCTAAGGGTTCAGTAGTGCATGCATCCCTTGAGGGTAACCAACAGCTCTCTCACTGGTCTTGAGAACTACTCAGCAAACCTAGTGCTCGCGCAGTGCTAGTGAAGTCATGGTAATTGAGGAGAATCTATGACTTCTAATTTACCATACCAGCATAATTCCTAACAACAATCCATAAACATGTAAATATAGTCTTCACCCCTCATCAAAGAAACTCCTCTTTGCAACAGATGGAGACCCCCCCTACAGTAAACCACACCAATCAAAATGCAGAGCTGTGGAGCCCAGGCCCAGTGGGTACATCTATAAAATGCTTCAGTAGCTAAGGCTCAGACAACACTGCAGAGGGGAGGCAGAAAGATTGCAAAAGCAGGAGGATCAAGGGGTTTGCTGTGCGATTGTCTCCCACTAATATGAGACACCACATCTGTAAAATCTGACCACTCTGACTGTCCAAATGCGAGGCGAACAAGGATGACACCAAAGAACGCACCAAACTGGACAGAGAAAAGCCTGGACCCCACACAAAGAGCTATAGGCAACAGAGGAACACTGGGAGCAAGAGAAGTAATCCTCCCCAGGGAGGAGCACACCAATTTGGTTGTTCAGTGCCAAATGGTCAGCACTGAAACATACATACTGGTAGCATTATAGAGACTGACCAGGAAAAAAAAAAAAAAAAAAAAAAAATA